TCTGTCACTTTCCACGACCGAATGTGAAAGCAGACGTCATCGTCTTGATGTGTGATCGTTTCGCGTCTATATACTTTCGGTCCGTCGTAGTGCCGTATATAATTATTATTTTTAATCAATTCAGTTGAGTAAATTAAAAGTTATGAAAACTCTCAGATTTAAATTTTAAATATTTAAAACGAACTACAGAAGTACTACAGAATAAGACTCAAGTTTGAAGACCTGTGACTAGACGACTGAAAGTGTTGGGGCGAAATCATGTGCAGAGAAGCTATTATTAGACAAAGGGACTTTCCTTTCTTAAATATAGCATGACCTACATGAATATTTTTTTTATTCGGTAATATTTTATGTTCTTTCTATGTCTAATTAAAATAAAGGACTAATTTGTAAAAATTCCTTTTATTTTCTGCAAACGGGTCATTAACAAATGCCTGCACAATGTATGCATTTGGAATCTGGAATATCGTTTATTAAATAAATAAAATAGTGCACACACCTCGCCCCAAATTTTTCTTACATTTATGAGCAACTGATAATAAGTAGATTTTGGATCAAGAAGAATTTTGGGGGGCGAGAAATGTGCACTGTGATAAAATTCTTTAAAATCATCAGCTTTCAGCAAAAATATCAAGAATTTGTAAAACCATGACCGGTTCTAACAACTATACAGCTCGGGATGTGTGTCTATTTTTAAAACCGAGCTTGTTTTCTTAAACCCGGGATTCTGATGTTCAATTTTTACTATAATATTGCTTAGAAATTTTTACTTTAAATTTTGTATATTTTCAAGGCAAAATTTTTGGGTTAGTGAATTTTGTTCTTTGATATAGTTATATATTTATGTATGATTAATAAAAGTTTCATATCTTTATTTTTATTTATTTTATTTTTTTATCGCCCATTCATTAACGTTGATAACATTTTCTATTATTTTTATCACTCATTCTACATGTAACATTGAATCCCTTTTGTTTCATTCTGATCATTAGGATCGGGATCGACATTTCGTTTTATTTACACAAAAAGTCGGAGACCAGTCACTGCTTGTGGAGTTTGGTGTGATATTTCCAGCTCCAGTACAAAGAAAAGGTAATTTAAAATCATTTTGCCTGATTGTCGTTTAGACAAAGCTGTTTACTAAACATTCATTACAAGAAAAGATACCTTTCTTTCTGTTGTCGAGAAAGCATGAGAAAACCAAAGTACTGAAAGTACTGGAAAGATTTGGTAGACGCAATGTATGCATAAACTCATCCTTCCCAAAGACGTTACAATGGCATAAATTGAGGGCAGAATAACCTTTTTGTAGAATTATTTTTTAATTTGCATTAGTTTCCTTTGCCATTGTATGAATGCCATTTATTTTACATTATAACTTAGATAGTCTTCGTTAAAGCCATATATGGCGTATGTACAATGAAAATTATTAGACTGAAATTATAAGAACTTATTATTTGTATCATTACTTTATATAAAGATAGAATTTTTCCGTAAATTACAAAATCTAAGTCAATTGCGTTATAAAGATATCACAATTTAATTTGGGTTCTCGGAATTTTCTCCAACTCGGAAGAAAATACAAAAGGTTTAAATAACACAATACAGAGAAGATAAAATCGTATTATTAGATGAAACGAGGTGTTCGCCGTGTTCAGAATTATATGAAAAGTTTTAATTTAAGTGTATTAACTATATTTCTTTACTTGATTTTGTATTTTTCAAAAACATTTTTTTTGATCAGTTACGCCATATATGGCTTTAAACCAGAATTTAGCAAGAGTTATTTCCCGTTGGCTGCCATACTGGACACAGACTACCATTATTTTGCTATATAAAAATAAAAAAAAAAATCACTGGCTCAAATTACCAAAGTTTGGCACAGAGCTAGAAATTAATTCAAGTAAAAAATAAATCCAAAAAAATATGTTTCATGGTGTGACTGTTGAGGCGAGCGCAGTTGTTCCTTCAAAACACTTGAAAAATTGATCAACCTTTTTAAACATAAAGCCGTATGAGACATTTTAACTAACTGTGACGTCACACGACATCATGGCGCTTGTTGGAGCTTATGGAGATAACCGAGCGTATGGTTGAAACTATAGACCTAGTGCAAATTTGGTCGAAAATCATTGTAGACTTATTTTTTGTGTCTTTCAAAGATTTCTACAAACTTTATGTTTTACGTTATTATTTATTTATTTATTTTTTTGCGCAAAGGGCATTGGGTAGGATACTAGGAATTCTGGAAATGTTTCACAGAGAAATTTGTCTGACATATGTGCAGATTTCATTCCAAATTTTCTTCTGTTCTTACATGTAAGTCTGTTGAGCTTGCTGCAATCGCTATCAGAAAAATTCATCGCACCCAAGTCTTTCTGTGGCACTGGCACGACAATTAACCCTACCCTGCATATTTTCATTTCCCTTTGAGAAACAGGTAATCAATGGCCTCTTCACCCCCTCCTACTACACACCTAATAGCAGAATTCACATTATTCTTAATATTACCATTTAATTCAGACCCTCTCCTTTCCATCTATGCCCTTAAATAGCCCTATTTCACGCTATTTAAACCCCAAGAATTTTTGAGAAAAAACCTATATTTTTCAACTGGTAATACTTGCGATTAGAGCTGGGTATCTGAAAAATCCAATATTATATTTTGTATTGCAATATATCACAATATAAAACTTTTAATAATTTTTTTCTTTTAATCAATGTTAAATGAAATTTGAAAACAAAAACTCAAATTACATGTATTCTCGAGTTGATATTGCAACTGCCTGTGTGTATACAGGTGGCAAGCTAATTTTTTGTGGTACAACTTTAAGATGTTTTCAGATTCTGCTTTAACATGAAGGGCGTTCATCAAAAGTTGTCGTCTTTTTGTCTCTGAAGAATGTATCTTTTTTGAAACCGTTGCTTGCGATATTTTACCTTGAAAAGGAAAACCTTTTTCTAACAATTAATAGCATATCGAACCCGACCGGTATTCATATACCACGATACGTATTGTCAAAATCGGTACACCGGTTACATCGCACAGCACTACTTGCGATATCAATGAAATAGGGGTAAAATTAGTAGCCTGTAACCCACTGGATGTCTAAATGCCCATAACTCCTTCATTGTTCGACCAATTTAAAATTTTCATATTTGCCATTTTGAATTAGGAATGGCTATTTTTCTGAAGTAAATAAATTTGTGGAAGCCTACGAGGTTAAATTCATCATAAAGCCCTTTTGGCTTTATGGAATTTAATCTTGTGACCAACCCATATAGATGTTTTAAAATGATACCTTATTTCTTAAATACAGACCTGTTTACTCGAACGATTTGGCTGTATTTTGTACGGATGTTTAGTCTAAAATATGTCTCAGGTTTTGCCATTTGAAAATACTCGGAAATACGTGTTTGCAATAACAATTAGTTTTCGTTATGATACACAAATTTCATTTCCCTATTTATCAAGAAAGATTTCAAACACATAAGCGATGTCTTGCCAAAATGCATTATGAAAAGACTTGTTGTTAAACCATTTTTTGTAATCAGAAAAGTTGTTCTCTATTTATATCTGTATGATGGAAATAACTTTCATGCCATTTATACAAATTTTAAAAATACTGAGAGACAGCTTTATGGGTAAACAGGTCTGTAAATAATATGTTGACAGTGCGACCATTATGGCGAGTCCAGGTATTTACTTTGTTGTAATTTAGATCGGGCTCCTCATTATGTGACATTTTCTTATCTGATGTCAATACGTTATAATTTGCATTTCCAAATAAGAAGGCATGTGAAAGTAAATAAGAATTTTATTTGAACTTTTATCTTCAATATTATTCATTAAATCAGGGCATGTTTACTTTTAGTTGAACTTTTTCAGCTACTCTCACATGCATTGTGGTCTGAGTCCAAATTACCGCGACAAAAATTTTTAGTATGAATGTGCAGTAGTCTGAATTTTCTCCTTGCACAGGCGTTGCTTTAAGAGCTGGCAAAGACAAGCGTCATTTCACGACACTCGCTGTAGTAAAGATTTTCCAGCAAATATTTCTGCTACAGCCTCTTAAACTTCGTAAAACAAAGAGGGAAAATCACCGAGTCAACCTCCAATATGGTGACCTACGAGAACATCGAGAAGTAACTCTCACTAAATTCAGGCCTATAGAAAACTATTAATTTAGTTATACACTAGTTTGCATTGTATTACTTCATGCAAATTGTACTCTCCATATGTACGTACAAGGCATAACAATCCAATTCTACCTGTAATGGTTCAGTACACAAATCACGCACATTTTACTGATATACCAGGTAAGATATGATTACTAGAATGTCCATGTAACAAAGCTTTAAAAAAGATTTTATTTCAATTAGGTACTATGTCTAATACCCAAGATAAGCTTAGCAGTGATTTTTCTACAATTTTTAAAAGGGGCCACCTTTTGTAATTTTCATGGCGGTATAAATTCTCGACATTTGTTTCAAATTGGGAAAAGCAATAAGTAACCGTTGTAATTAACCTTCATATTGACAAGTACATGTATATAAAAATATATTTCTGTAAATGTAATATCATTTTTTGAAATGTACAATTGCTACAAAATTGCAGTTATGAAAAAATGGACACAGTTCTACATTTAAAAAAAAAAAAATTGGGTAGCATTTTATATTTTTTGAAAATGAATTCTTGCATAAATTCTTGTTTATGGCATAGGGTTAATGAAACGTTCACAATTTATACCGTATAAGTATTTTTTCCAAACTTTCATTGTTTAAACTCATCAAAATAATATCGTTATCAGCATACTTTAAAACAACCGCTTTCGTGGCTAAGCTGTGACTAAATGATTTTTATTTAACAGAAAACAAAATTATTAAAACAGTTCATGTTGAAATTATTGTTTTTTAAATTCTTGTTTAATTACTTAATTGATGTACCTTGTTCGTTTGCATTTCCAAGTAACAATGTACAATTAGATGCGCTATGTTGACCAATGCACTTGCATATTGAGATATTGACACTTAAAAATGGATGTTTGTTATAAAACAGGGTGGCGGACAATGCTGAATCTGACGTTATTTTTCCAAGTATGGCAGGAACACACGTTCCTGTTAAATTGGTGTAGGTTTCATTTGGCGATGAATTTAAGGCCTATGTTGACCAAAATTGCATGGATTCTTATATCTGAAAGATAGACATCGGAATGATCATTGTGCGATTTTTTTTCAAAATGATGTTGCTTGTTGAGTCGTAGATCATGTGTATCCCTATTTTAAAAAAGTTAAGGATGTGATGACAAATAGTTCTAAAAATTTGAATTTATTTATCGCCAAATTAAAAATAAATATGGGTCAAGAACCTGGCTATAGTGACGCAGGTGATCAGAGTTTGTTTCCAGATCAAGCCTTACATTTTATTCTTTTTTGTTATATGGAAAATAATGACAATAGTTATTACTTTAAAAATTATTCTTTTACAGGAGTTTGAGCAATAATATTGAATAAACAGACCATGTCAGAGTTTGAGATGGAGACATCTATATCCAGTGCCAGAGATCCAGAATCTGATCGGGATGAAGAATCTTCTGGTAAATATACATGTATACACAGTGTAACATTGAAAATTTTCACCCCCAAGAATACCATTTTCAACCGAAGTTCAGATTAGGTTGACAAATGGTTTCCACAGGTTATGTATTTTTTCTGCAACAGCTGCTGCATTTATTCCTGTACTAACAACCGAAGAAGGCATTTGTAACACAATTGACGCTATGAAAACTATCATCATTAAAAAATTATTACATAACTATAAACATATTTAACTTATATTCTCGATCAGGTGAGGGTTCTTATATTGTTTTCTATTTATTAATGTGTTTACTATGTATAGATATCTGTTTGTTGTTTATAATTCCGAAGTGTGTAAACAGGGCATAATACTCCCTGTACGTCCAGTGTTTATGGGTGAGGATTATTCCACCTGTTATTCTACCCTCACGACATTGGCATAAAGTGATCGTGTTCGGTTGCATATTACTTTGACGGTTATTCATCTATCGCAATATGTACTCCTGACGGTCAAACCGTTATGGTCATAAAATGTTTACTACGGCCAAAAATGTCAAAGGCTGATACCAAATGAGTGAACAATGGCCACATGTCTCTGTTCAAATTTAGCAGAAACTGAAAAGGCTTTTAAAATAAATGCACACTTACTTCAGGTCAATACAAATACATGAAACCTTCAATTTTCATTTTTTTTACATGTAAATTTAAATCAAATTATGTAAGAATTTTTTGTCATAGTAAATTAAATCCTTTTTCAATAAAATAGTTCTCAATACACCAATATTTTGTAATATTTTGTATATATATGTATAAAATTTATTCATGGTAAATATGACGTGAATGTCGTTACGCGTTATGACCAGATTTTTTACTTTCCAAATCTGGTCATGACCAGATTTTTACATGCCGAAGGTTGGCAAGTATGATATTTACTCTCATACCTATCTAATTCCCATTAGAAAACATACTGAAGCGCTGCTTTTTAAACCACAATTACAAATTGTTTTCTGTGCATGTAAAATAACACGCATCCATAAACAAGAGTTATCCTTCCATTATCGCCCTTGAAAATATTTTTTAATGAAACAAAATATTAATTAAATGTTTATAGACAATACTGCATCTGAAATTTCTGTACAATTAAAAGAATTATACTATAAGAGGTAGTTTTATACTGTTTAAAGGAACTGAGTATAAATGTTTTAATTTTTATAAATCAAATGTACATACTTGCAATAGAAACTATAAATGTTTACCTTAGAATAAGTTTGATTGAGTTGACTATGAAATGGTTGGCATGAATGAAATTTGTAAACTCTGACATGACAATTCACTGAAAGGAAAGTTATCTTTCTTATAAGAAGAGTTATCTCTCTTATCAGAGGGATGATCCACCTAAAAAAAATTATATAACCCCTATTGAACGTTGTTGTGTTATATAACGTTTTATTGTTTAAATTTTTCCCAAAATGAAACATGTGAAAAGGCTCAGGCCCTTGATTTTGTGAGTAGCCTAAATGTACTACATACTTCATCTGTCATTAATGCATTCTTGTATTGTAATAAGGAATTGTAAGATTTCTTCACATAACTTGTTTTATTGTAGAAGAGAAGTTGACCTTTGACATTTCTGACCCTGAGGAAAAAGGTCATCAACACAAAGTAACAGTAAAGGTAAGACAAGATTTTGTTGACAATGTCCTGTAGTAATAACAGTTCAGGTAAGTCAAGATTTTGGTGACAATGTCCTATAGTAATAACAGTAAAGGTAAGTCAAGATTTTGTTGACAATGTTCTGTAGTAATAACAGTAGGGTAAACTGGGATAATTTCGACCACTTATGCTGACATATGGCTTTCAATCTGCAAAACTTGACCGTTTTCAAATGTACAGGTTCAAATATATTCGAAGTAAAGAAATTGATTTTTTTTCTTCAAATTTTATGCTTTATGAACTAAGAATATGTTAGAAAATAATAAATTGGGTCAAAAATTAGTAATCATGATGCCTGGATTAATTTCGACCAGCCTCAGGGTAATTTCGACCACAACAAACATCAACAAGAAAGATAACTCATACTGTGAAATTAAACTCTAACTATCGCAATAAACTGTCTGTTATAGGAAATATAAGTGTCTGTCAAAAAAAGATTAAAAATAAATTAATTACATGTATTAACAGTATTATACTTACATGTATGTTTGTTGATTTAGTAAAGAAATGAGTTGTGTTACCACTGATAAGTTTTTCATTGCAGCCTTCGACATCTTCATTCTTATTCATTATTCTGCATCTTAATTCGCCAAATCTAATTTCCAAACGATGCTTTATAATTTCCAAATGATGCTATAACCTGTGGGGATCCGGGTTAAAATAATCCTTTAAGTATTGCTTGTCGTACAAAGGCGACTTAATGGGGCGGTCCTAAAAATTATAAACTGAGGTCCGTGTCACAGCAGGTGTGGCACGATAAAGATCCCTCCCTGCTCAATGGCCCTGAGTGCCAAGCATAGGCCCAAATTTGCAGCCCTTCACCGGCAATGGTGACGTCTCCATATCAGTGAAATATTCTGGAGAGGGACGTTAAACAGTATACAATCAATCAATCAATCAATCAAACGATGCTATATATTGTAATGTGGTAGTTATGGAAACAAATTTTTCTTATTCCATAGATCATTTCCTTCTTAAGATTTTTAAACTGTCCAGTCCGTACTTAACTTCGTATTAAATCGTCTTTTCCGAGGCTCAACAGAATCAAAGTGGATTTTAGGTTTGAACGCTTTTAAGCGTACATGAATTTATTTGAAATGCTTTGTATTACGAATTGTTTTGAATATGAATAAGAACATGTTTTATTAATTGTTTAAAATCCTGAAAAATTCTATCAAATCATAATTATGAAAGAAGTGTGCAAAAGCAAATTCCTCTGAGTAAGATTTTGGTGGCAATGTCCTGTAGTAATAACAGTAATGTCCCCGACTTAATTTCAATTTAATTCGAACTGTTAAAATGTTGAACTTTGTCTAACTCAAAAAGAGGTCGTACGAGTTATCTCTCTTGTTTTTCGTTGATCATATCAAGCGCACTGAAGACAGACTTCCGAGTGTCAAACTGGAGGGATAATAAATAGTGAAAAAATTAGTTACACCTCTGACCAAACCATTTTTTAAAATGAGAAATTATACTAGGAAATCCAATTTAAGGTTTAGTTTACTTTAAAACCAAATTAAAGAAACTTCTCAACAATGCCGTAAATCATGATGCAGTGTTGTGTTTGTGTGGTCAAAATTGAACCGTGGTCGAAATTACCCCGACTTACCCTAAAGGTAAGTCAAGATTTTGCTGACAATGTCCTGTAGTAATAATAGTAAAGGTAAGGCAAGATTTTTGTGAAAAATCACAGTAAAGGTTGCTCTTTTATGACCTGTCTGTGGTAAAACATTAAGGGATCAAGATTTTGGTGACAATTTTTTAGGTATGATCAAGATTTTGGTGACAATGTCCTGTGGTAATAACAGTTAAGGTAAGTCAAGATTTTGGTGACAATGTCCTGTAGTAATAACAGTAAAGGTAAGTCAAGATTTTGGTGACAATGTCCTGTAGTAATAATAGTAAAGGTAAGTCAAGATTTTTATGACAATGTCCTGTAGTAATAACAGTAAGGGTAAGTCAAGGTTTTGATGACAATGTCCTGCAGTTATAACAGTAGAGGTAAGTCAAGATTTTGGTGTCATGTCCTGTAGTAATAACAGTTTAGGTAAGTCAAGAAAGAATAACAGAAAGGTAATCAAGAAAATCTTGACAATTCTCTAGAACCACATGGGCCAGAAAAGCTGAAACTTATGTGGAAGCATCCTTGGGTAGTGTTGAGTCTAAATTAACAGTAAATCATGATTTTGGTGGAAATGTCCTGGTAACAATGGGGAATCAAAGTTTTACATAGAAATATATAGGAAAAATCTTTGAAAATCTTCTTCTTAAGAACCACTGGGCCAGAAAAGCTGAAACTTATATGCACATTGAAGGATTCTGGGTTAGTGTAGATTTCAAAATATCTAAATTATGATCAATGGGGTAGGGTGGGGATGCATTATGTATATTACAAGGGGGAAAGAACAGAATGGTCAAAGCTTCTCAGGTGAGCGTAGTGGCGCATGGACCTCTTGTTTAACTTCCAAAAGTGTTCCTATATATATATAATCTTTAGGACACCTGGGTCACTCAGGTGACCTATCGCTATCTGTTTTTGTTCGTTGTTTTGTGTAAAAATTTGAACTTTTTCAGCTTCTTCTCTGAAACCACAGAACCAATTTCAAGTAAATTTGGTATACAGCATCTATGGGTGAAGGGGGACGAAAATTGTGAATTTTATAGTCCCTGTCCCCTTTGGGCCTGAGGGATGGGGCTGAAACCACTAAATTAATGAAATCTTTAAAGATCTTCTTCTTTACTTCTGGACATCAAGAAGTCAAACTGTGAAATGTAATGATCATTGAGTCCTGTACCAAAATTGTGAATTTCATGTCCCTAGGGTCAGGGGTTCTGGTGTTAGGGATATGAGGGAAACGGTTCACCATGGTATTGATTTACCGCAGTATTTTTTCTGGGTTTGATACACGGTACTAATTCTCAATTTTCAGTTCTTTTTTCCGTCAGGATCGACATTCAGTCCAGTTTTGCATAAGGTATAAACATGTTCCTCAATATCATTAGTTCAAAAACAGAATTTTTTGAAGACTTATAGTTGTTAAAATAATATTTTACAGTCAAATCAATTAAATTGATTTCATCTATCCATTTTGCACATAAATTATCTGACTAGATTATTTTAAGGAAGCATGAAACAATGCTTGAATTTGTTTTCTTCTATCAAAATGTATCGTATTATAAATAACTTAACGGAGACCAAATTTTACCATACATATCGAATCGTGAAGGAGGCGTATCGTTTCACCCCTAGTTAGGGCAGGGCTGAAAATGCATATTTTCTTTGAAAATCTTCTTCTTTGCTCCTGGGTATTAATTAAACTAACTAAGTACATAGTTATGATAAGCAAGAGTGTCTCTACCAAAATTGTGAATTTTATGGCCCCAGGGTCAGGGTTTCTGGTGTTAGGGCGGGGCTCTATTGATTATATAGTGAGAATGCATTTATTTGAAAATCTTTTTCTCTGCTCCTGAGTATTATAGTAAATAGTTATGATGAGCAAGAGTGCCTCTTTCAAAATTCTGAATTTATGGCCCCAGGGTCAGAGGTTCTGGTGTTTTGACCTGGCAATGAGTTGCTGGATTGTTTGCGCCACATAATTAGGGGAGCTTATTCTCATCTGTAATGGTAGCTCCACTTGAGGTATTTACAGTGTATCATGGAAGAAAGAACAAGATTCATGTGTTTTAAAATATTGAAATGTTTCTGTCTTTGGTCAAACTGCCCCAAGCAAACAGTTTGGTTTCGGTACGATAAAACGCATGTTATTCTCAAACTTGGTCAATAAATGTTTATTATTATATTGAAAATAAAAAGTCTCTAATAAAATACTACCAAAAATCTAGAGAATTTTAGCATTTAATTTCTTGACAGAATGCTGAGTTTTATTACGTATACAAGTATGCCCTGAAAAATTCCAAATAGGAGCGTTTGATATCGAAAGGTCCGTTGTAAACAAAAATAATTGACCCCACGTCTATTCATCTGTTACGCTTTGGGGTGTCTCTTGTCCGCAACTCCTCTTATACTACTAATTGAAATTTAATGAAACTTTTACAGAATCTTTATTACATATTGCCATTGTGCACCTCCTATTTTACTTTTTTTATTTGACACATATTTTAAGTTTCCTATAGGGAAAACCTGGACATTGCCATTATATTCTTACCTATGACGTCACATATAGAAGCTTCTGGATAACATTTGATAGGAAGAGTTATTCCTCTTTACACATTACCATAAAAAACAATATATAGTAAAGCATGGACATTATGGGAGGCGGGGGGTATCATTTAGTGAGTTCACTGCTCAAAGTACCTGTAGTTTTTAAATTGTACACCTATAGTTTATAAATTGTACTCTTTATGCTTGATGTAAAACCAAACTTAGCTTGAAGATTGGTTGAGAGATGAAAAAGTTACAGAGAGAAAGCTGTTTTCTGTACTGATCCCTATAATTCCTGTTATTTTAGGGATATCTATTTCCTTGACCTAACCACCTTGAGAAAATGTCGATTTTCTTGAGAAATATCCCAAGAATTGCTTACTTCCCTTTTGAAATAATGGAACATGCATGATCACAAATTTAAAATAGAAATCTCCATAGGCAATTTTAAGGAACTCATAAAACCGGAAGTACTCTTTCATAGGAATACCAAAATTACATGTAAAACATAGAGAGAAGTACTCTTCTTAAGGCACACCAAAATTAAAACAGAGATCATATTAAACTCCAAAGAGGTCGGTAAAAGGAGATAACTCTTGCACAATTTTTTTAAAAGACCTAAAACAAGATAATGCCATGTGTAAACAACAGACTGTTTATTGTATCCAATTATGCATCATTTTATGCTTTCACTTTCATCTTGTGCATAAAATCAAATTCATTAAAGAATGTACGTGTGTATAAATTATATAATGGTAAAATGTTTAAAATTTCAACTAAATCTCTCTCTTTTTTTGGAAAATTTTTTTTTTTCATTCATACATATTTGCAGAATATGTCTGCAACATATCAGCAGAGACTGTGATAATTTCAGGTATACAGCTTTTAAAAGAAGTCATACGTGTTTTTATGTGACAAGAATTTCTTTTGATATCAACAATTTTAACCCTTTGACCTTGACCTTTGAGTTTTACATACATTTTATAAACTTCAACCTTAGCCATAAGCTGCCATAATGGGGGTTCAGTGTTTCACAAACACATCTTGTTTTCATTATTTTTAAGTGGTGGTGTTTCCATATGAGGGAAAAATTCCCGAGAGAGATGTTTTCACAACAAACAAACAAATTACAAAAAAACTCATAAAACCAACAATTTTAACCCTTTGACCTTGACCTGAAACATGAACATGATAATCGTATCTCTTGTTCTTCCTTGAATCAGAAATGATGATCTATATATTTTTAAAATAATTATTATAAGAGTTGAAAAGGTTAGGCATTTTAATATTGATTAAGTTCTACGGTTGAATTAGAGTTTACTAGTTATATTTTGCTACTCAAAACACCTTGATAAACTATTTCCAATCATGCTGTTTTCTGAAATGTTCAGTTTTTTCAACAATGGATACATGTCATATATTTTCAACTTGTAAAAAAATTGCATGAAAAAAAGCTTTTCAAATACTGTGTAAACATGGTAGCCCTTCAAAATACTTGTAAATCTTTTTTTAGCTCATTTGAGCTAAAATACCCGATTTTGAGTATTCTCTCTAACCTGTAAAGCTTAAAAATTCTTAGGCGAATGCTTTAGTTTGGTCCAGTGTATAAAAAAAGTCTTTAATAATTGTCTCATGAGCCACTGGGCCAGAAAAGCGAAAACTTAAGTGGAAGAATCCTGTCAGAGGTAATGTTGATTCTTAACTGTTCAAATCACAATCCCAAGGGTAGGGTAGGCCACAACAAGTATTACAAAGGGGGACATCTGGTAAAAAAAAAAGAAAAAAAGAACGAAGCAAATGACCATAGTTACTCAGGTACACGATGTGGTCCCTGGGCCTACTGATATCTTCTAGATAAATGCCATGAAATAGCATTATAACTGATTTGTCTGCTACATTTACAGAAAGAAGAGGGAGATTTTGCATTCAGACCAGAAAGTCATCTTGTGAATATAAACTATAGTGGGAATGAAAATGAATTTGGGAATTTCGAACAATCCATAAAGGCGTGTGAAAGTAAAAGGCCCAATGAATGTAGCATCTATATGAAAACATTTAATCATTTACATGAGTTATGGAGACAAATGAGTATACATGCAGGTGATAAACCTTATAGATGTAATGTGTGTGAAAAGGCATTCAAACTGACAAGAGACGTACAGAGACACATGAGGACACATACCAGTGAAAAACCTTATAACTGTGATGTGTGTGGAAAGTCTTTCAAACTGTCACATCACTTACAGGATCACATGAAAATACACACAGGTGATGAACCTTATAAATGTGATGTGTGTGAAAAGGCATTCAAACGGAAAATTGACTTTCATAGACACATGAGAACACATACCGGTGAAAAACCCTATAAATGTGATGTGTGTGGGAAGGCATTCAGACAGTCACAACACTTACAGGCTCACATGAGGACACATACAGGTGATAAACCTTATAGATGTGATGTGTGTGGGAAGGCCTTCAACGAGTCACAGAACTTAAAGAGTCACATGAGGACACATACAGGTGATAAACC